GTGTGTGTGTGTGTGTGTGTGTGTGTGTATAATATATATATATTGCATATATATTATAAATAATATATATAATATATATAAATAATATATATACATATATGTGTGTGTATGTGTGTGTGTATATATATAAATAATACATATATATAATACATATATATAAGTAATATATATATAAATTATATATATATATACACACACACACATAATTATTTTGTAGCTCAGTTTAAACTGGGAAATTTCTGCTATCTCTAGAATTAAAGGCCTGTATTTCCATCCCCCACCTCCACCAACCCTCCTCACCTCGTACACTCATTCTTTTTCTCTTTACTGGCATTTTTATTTGGCGATAGAAACTAAATTTCATAGCCACCGAAAGGCGGGAATAGTCTTTATTCACTGAATCTTGCATGTTCTGCTAATGAGCTACTCTGCTTAAGAACCGAAAAGATTATTTTGCTAGGGTTGGAAGGAAATATCTTCCAGGGTTCAGAGTTGCTACCTCTGAACACATTATTTTTGTGATTTATTGCCAGTTAACTTCTGGGATTTCCATTTTAAAACACAGAGCTACAGCAAACATGGTTATTATGCATACATTCTGATGGACTTGTGCAAATAGATACTTCGTTTAAATTCCCAGAAGTAGAATTACAGAGTTCAAGAAGTATGTATTTTTTTACATACTCTTTTTTACATAATCTTTTTAAAGTCAAAATCAAAATTAAATCCGTAGTTTTGTATTAATAAATTTGGTGAATTGAAACATTAATTTTTTCAGAATCCAAGCCTCCTCTTATGACTACGACTCCGGGTTCAAGCCATCCAGATTCAGATCATCCAGGTCCAGCACTCTTTATCCTACTTACATTGTTAAGAGCTTTTATAAGGCGATGCATTAAAAATGATGTCCTACATTAATTTGCATTTCCTTTGCTCATTTTTCTACTAGGTTTCTACAATATTTTTCTCAATTGTAAATGAAAGCCCTGTTAATATGAAGTGAACAATTTTTTCCTGGGTTTTTTTCTTTGCTTTAATTTTACTAGTCAGTTCTTTTAAGATTTTTATACTCTTAGATGTAGATTGTTTTTCATAATTTTTTTTTTT